TATTATTATTATTATTATTATTATTGTTATTATCGCTTTTGTTCAGCTGAATTGTACTCTCACCGCCGTTGCTGCTGCTGCTGCTCTTGCTGCTGCTGCTGCTCCTGCTGCTGCTCGTGTTGCTCCTGCTGCTGCTGTGCTGCCTTTGCTGTCGCTGCTGCTGCTGCCGTGCTGCTGCTGCTACGCTGCCGCTGCTGCTACTGCTGCTGCTGCTGCGCTGCCACTGCTGCTACTGCTGCTGCTGCTACTGTTGCTGCTGCTGCGCTGCCACTGCTGCTACTGCTGCTACTGCTGCTGCTGCTGCTGCTGCTGCTGCTGCTGCAGGCGTTCGAGCTGCTGCTGTCTCCTGCGCTGGTGGAAGCAGCAATTAAGCGGCTGCAGCCGCAGCTGATGGACAGCGACATAGAGGGCCATTTTAGCCGAGGATTAGAAGCTTAATTCTTTTTTTTCTTTTTCTTTTTAATTCTTTTTGTTCTTTTTTGTTCTTTTTTGTTCTTTTTTGTTCTTTTTTTCTATTTTAAAAGGCCCTTTTGACTCTCTTTTGGTCTTCTTTTTCTCTCCAAGTTCTTCCTTTTTCTTTTCTCTTTTTTCCCGCATGTACAGACAGCACTTGGGTTTCTTTTCTTTTTTCATTTTTCTTTTTGAATTTCTTTTTGGCCTCGTTTTTCTTCTTTTTTGTCTTTTTGTTTCTTCGTTTCAAATATCTTTTCCTCCTTTGTCTTTTATTTCTTTTTGTCTTTTATTTCTTTTATTTGTTTTATCATTTTGTCTTTTTATTTTATCCTTTTTTCTTCTTTTGCCCCTTTGTGTCTTTTTCTTCTAATTCTATTTCTTTTTTTTCTTTTTAATCTCCCTCTTGTCTCTTTTCCTCTTTATTTCATTCCCCTTTTGCTGCTTTTTTATTTCCTTTTTATTTCTTTTTTATTCTCTTTTATTTCTTTTTTTCTTTTTATTTCCTTTTCCCTTTTTGTCTCTTGTCAAGCCCAGCGTCTGCTGCTGCGCAGTTTCTTTTCCGTTTGTTTCCATTTCTTTTTCTGTTTGCACTTTTGCATGCGCGGGTGCTTTTTGGGGCTGGCGCATGCAAATTAGGGATTTAAAATAGATTTAAATGAAACAAATTAATTAAAAAAAAGAAAAGATCGAAAAGAAATGCAAAAAGACGAAAAAGCTGCTGCGCAATACTGCTTGGGCGCCACGAAACGCCGAAACTGTTCAAGTTTGCATGCGCATGCATTTGCGTGTTTGTTGGTTTCTTTTTTCGCTTTTTTCGGGATAATACCTTTTAAATATAATTAAATTCCAATTATAATTCAAATGCACTTCTCAAAGTGCTTTCATCGATGCCTTTCGTGCACATCGGCGCACAGAAAGGCGCGTAGCAGCGCTGAGGTGTACGTACACCTCAACGCCCGTAGAGAGCAGCTCTTCCGTAGCGACTCTAGACTTGTCTCATTTCTTTTTCTTTTTCCTTTTCTTTTTGTTTTTCTTCTTCTTGTTGCACTCAAATCAACAAGTAGAAAACCCGGGCCTCGTCAGCAGCCGGAGGCTCCCTCTTTGCTCCAGGTGTACGTACACCCCAACCTGCGCCTGCAGCCCTAAAGCTCCCCAAGCGCATTAAGGGGCGCTGAGCTGCCGCAGCAGCAGCTGCTGCTGCTGCAGCAGTGGCAGCAGCTGCTGCAGCAGCGGTAGCAGCAGCAGCAGCAGCAGCAGCGCTGCTGATTGGCATTTGCTGCAGCATGCATGCACTTGGAAGGGGCTGCATGCGTTTGTTTTGTTTTTGAGGTGTACGTACACCTGAGAGGGCGCTGGCTTTTGCCTCTTCGGGGGTGTAGGGCTTTTTACTTCTTTTTCTTTTAATTTGCAATTCGCGAAATTAAAAAAAACAAATTTAAACTTCAATTCAAATTATTGTCTTTGAAATAAGTCAAAGCATTATATTAAAGTGTTTATAATTCTTTATTTCCTTTTTCTTCTCCCTACTGGCCCCTGGGCTCTAGCGGGGGCCCCTGGTAGCGACTTTAGGGTTTAGGGTTTAGGGTTTAGGGTTTAGGGTTTAGCTGAGGCCAGCGGCGAACTTCTGCAAAGCGCTGCGGTTTAGGACTTAGGATTTTCTAGGGTTTAGGGTTTCAGTTTTTCTAGGGTTTAGGGTTTAGGGTTTAGGGTTTAGGGTCTAGGGTTTAGGGTTTAGGGTTTAAGGTAAACAGGAATTAAAGAAGTATATGCATAAATTCCATTTTAAACATTTGAGCTACGCAGCACTGTGCCAAAGATCAAAAAATAAAAATAAAAGGAAAAATATAAATAAAAATAAATAAAGTAAAAATGAAAATAAATAATAAAAAGTAAAATTAACGAAAACGATGAACATAAAAGAGGAAAATAAAAATAAAAATAAAAATGGAATATAAAGATAAAGTGGTGACCAGCAAAAGAATAAACACGAAGACAAAAATAAAAATGAAAAAAATGAAAATTAAAAATTCGAAAATATAAATAATGAAATTAAAAGTACAATTTAAAATAAAAGTAAAAATAAAAGATAACGAAGTGATGCACAAAAATTGGAAAAATTTTTTTCTGTATTTTTAAACTTTAAAAATCAAAACATTTTAAATGATTCAATTATGTTTCAAAGGTATTTTTACTTTCAAAATGATTTTAAAGATACTTTTAAATATTTTATTTATTCTTTTTGGTTTAAAATACTTTTAAATATGATTAATTAGTTTTTGCTTTTGCATGGAGTTTTATTCTATTTTTTGAATTTTCGGCTTTAAATAAAGTGCTATTTTACTTTTTTAATTTCGGTTATTTCATTATTTAATATTTCAGATATTTTATTATTTATTACTTCAGTTATTTCACTATTTATCATTTTAAATGTTTTATTACATATTAATCGAGATAATTTTCGATTTATTCTTTCATTTTTTAAATTTATTATTTTAGGTATTTTATTATTTACCGTTTGGGATATTCAATTATTTAAATTCTTGTTTATTTCATTAATTGCAATTTTGAATATTTCACTATTCGTTATTTTTGATGTTCTATTATTTATTATTCTGGATATTTTATTACTTTTATTTGCATAAATTTTATTTATTTTAGCATTTAGATGTTCTTAAATAAATACATTTAAACACTTTATTATTTATATATTTAAACATTTTATTATTTGCACATTTAAACAATTTGTAATTCATATATTTAGATATTTTATAAATCATGTATTTATATATTCTTTAATTTGTGCAAAAAGACAATAAAGTTTATATTTAAATATTTAATTATTTTTATTTTCGGATACTTTTTAATTTATTGACCTTCTCTTTGTTATCCTGCATGCTGCATGCAACTAAAACATTACTATTCAAATTAATAAACTGTTATTAATCCTTAAATATATATCATTTACAAATACATATATATGTATGTTATTCATATATATAGAAATATATATATATATACATACATATATATACATATATATATATATATATATATATATATATATATATATATATATATATATATATATATATATAAACACACACAGACACACACACACACATATATATATATATATAGCTAATATGTATTTTTATTTAGGCTTTCGCCTGTTAACGCGGGGCCTCGCGCTGCAGCTGCTGCTGCTGCTGCTGCTGCTGCTGCAGCTGCTGCAGCAAGGTGTCGCTGTTGGCCCTAAGAACCCTCGAAGCCAAATGGCACAGCAGCAGCTCTCAACTGCTGCCACAAACTCCACTCTGCGGCTCCCAGGGGCCCCCAAGGGGCCCCCAAGGGGCCCTCAAGGGGCCCCCAGGGGCTTTAAGGGGCCCCAGAGGTCTTAAGGGGGCCCCCTAGGGGCCCTTCCGGAGCTTCAAAAGGGCCCCAAAAGGGGACTGTGGGGCCCCGTGGGGGGCCCTAGCTATTAAGTGGCAGCCATTTGTGCTCTCCATGGGGGCCCCTGGGGCCCCCAGGGGGCCCCCAGGGGGCCCCCCAGGGGCCCCACACTGCTTGTAAGCTGGGGGCCCCTTTCTAGGGCTGAAGGGGCCAGGGGATGTTGCTGGCTAAGTTGCATGCGGGGGCCCCCACGAGAGGGCCCCTACGTCAGCTAGAAGTGCTGCTGCGAAAAGCAGGGGCCCCACTAGGCTGCTGCTGCTGCTGCTGCTGCTGCTGCTGCTGCTGCTGCTGGCTGGGGGCCCCTGCTGCTAGGGCTCTGGTGGCTACGACTATTTGTGCTGTCGATGCGAATTATAATGAGAATTAGACTTTTTAAAATAGACTGTGAAATAATAAATGTGTTAAGGTGCAAATGGCAGCTTTTGGCCACTTAAGGCTAGCTGCACAGCTAGCTGTGCGGAGCTTCGAGGGGAGCCCGCGGCCGTGGGGTGTCTACGGAGAAAGAGGAGCAAAAATAAATAAAATAAACTTGAAATAAAAGTAAAAATGAAGTTTATTAGAGGCTGCAGTGAGTGGAAAGCGCTGCCGCCACTGGCTGCGAAGGCAGCGACGGTTTACTGGTCGTGCTGCTGCTGCTGCTGCTGCTGCTGCTGCTAGGAGCTGCTGAGGCGCACGGGGAGGCCCCTGTGTCGGCTACTTTTGAGAAAAAAGGTATTTAATTTATTTAATAAACTTTGTTTGCCATTAGGAAGGCTTAAAAAGGTACTTGGAGGCCAAATACCTTGCGCGGCTGCTGCGCACTCACGGGCTGCCATCGCCGCTGCTGCTGCTGCTGCTGCTGCTGCCGAGGCACTCTCGAGCCGCCATTAGGTCGAAAGGAGCCTTTAAATGTATTTCTTGTTGGTAAATAAACTCCATTTAGTTCTTTTCTTCTTTTTTTCCTCCTTTTCCTTCCTTTATTCCCCCCTTTCCCCCCACAGACTTCGCAGCGGCGGCCAGAGCCCACCGGACCAGTCACCTGCATCGCCAGCTGTCGATACACCCCAAGGTGGGCCTCTCCCGCCAACACCCCACTCCTTGCTGCCACTTCTTTTAAACTTTATTATCATTTGCTGCTGCTGCTGCTGCTGCTGCTGCTGCTGCTGGGTTGAGGGGCCCCTTGCTGCGCCGTCTCGCCGCAGCCGCAGAGAAGGCGGGCCCGTGGGCCTCGGCGGTAAGGCTGCTGCTGCTGCTGCTGCTGAGCAGCAGCAGCAGCAGCAGCTGCTGCTGCTGCTGCTTCTGCTGTTGTTCATGACGTGGCTCTTTGCTTCGTGGCGCCTAAGGCCACCGCCGCAGTGAGGCCTCAACAAATTCTGCTGCTGCTGCTGCTGTTGCTGCTGCTGCTGCTGCTGCTGCTGCTATTTGCTGCAGGTTCAAAATGTGCGACTGCTGCTCTTTCGGGCCCCGCCCCGAGACCGACGCGGACCAGTTCGTGATGGATAAGGTAACAGCAGCAGCAACAGCAGCAGCAGCAGCAGCAGCAGCAACGGCAGCAGCAGCAGCAGCAGCAGCAGCAGCAGCAGCAGCAGCAGAAAAAGAGTGGTAGATTAAAGGAGTTGTTTAGAGCCTTAGCTGCTTCAGAGAGAGCTTATTTCTTTTGTAGCTGCTGTTGCTGCTGCTGCTGCTGCTGTCACAAAGTGATATTAGTGTCTCAGTTAAAAATAGTAGCATTTATCTTTATATAAATATGTATAAATAAATATATAAACATATATAATTAAGTACATATATATAAGTATATTTTTAAATATATATATATATTTATATAGTTGTATATACATATATATATATTGATCCTTATATTTAAATAAATGATTTTGAATAATTACTTTTATATTCATTTAAATCAGCAGTGAATTAATATATTTATTTTGTAATAACAGAACATATTTAATTGTATTTATATTTACATTTTTAATTTTTATTTTAATCCAAGTTTTCATTTATGTTTATATTTATACTACACTTCCGCTAATGTTTTTAGACCATTAGTACATATACGTAAATTGGCATTTATTTATTTATTTATTTATTTAATATATTATCTATTTATTTATTTATTTATTTATTTACTTTTTATTTATTTGGAATAAAAGTGCATTTATGTTGAATTCAAGAACACGCAATTAGTTATATTTACACTACATTTATAAAAATAAAAGTAAACTTAAATGTACATTTTAATTTTATTTAAAAGCACTTCTGTTTAATTTAAAAACCCAAAAGTGTTTTTAAGTTGCATTTAAATGATTTTTTAAAAAGAATTATATTTGAAAATACACAAGTGCATTTGAATTACATTAAAGACCATAAAGGAGCATTTAGGGTTTGGAGGTTTTAGGGTTTACAGCTTTTTAGGGTTTAGGGTCTTTTAGGGTTTAGGGCATGGCCTAGTGCTTTCAAGGGTTTAGGGTCTAGGGTTTGCTAGCGCCAGGGCTTTTCCAGGGCTTAAGGTTTTCTAGGGTTTAGGGTTTGGGGTTTAGGGTTTAGGGTTCCTTAGGGCCCAGGGTTTCCTAGGTCCCAGGTTTTCCTAGGGTAGAGTTTCCCAGTGCCTACTGTTTTCCAGGGTTTAGGGTTTAGGGTTTAGGGTTTAGGGTTTTCCAGGGTTTAGGGTTTTCTAGAACATAGCGTTCAGGGTTTTTTCAGAATAAGGGGTTCAGGGCTTCCCAGAACTTAGGGTTTGGGGTTTTCGAGGGTGTAGGGCATAGGGATTTCGAGGGTTTAGGGTTTAGGGTTTTCGAGGGTTTAGGGTTCAGGGTCTTCGAGGATGTAGGGTTTAGGGTTTTCGAGGGTTTAGGGCTTGGGGATTTCGAGGGTTTAGGGTTGAGGGGTTTCGAGGGTTTAGGGTTTAGGGTTTTCAAGGGTTTAGGGCTTAGGGATTTCGAGGGTTTAGGGTTGAGGGATTTCGAGGGTCTAGGGTTTGGGGTTTAGGGATTTCAAGGGTTTAGGGTTTCGGGACTTCTCGGTTTTAGGGTTTAGCGATTTCGAGGGTTCAGGGTTTAGGGAGTTCGAGGGTTTAGGGTTTAGGGATTTCGAGGATTCAGGGTTTAGTGAGTTCGAGAGTTCAGGGTTTAGGGTTCGTTGATCCGAAGGCCTAGGGTTCAGGGTTTAGGGTTTAGGGTTTAGGGTTTAGGGTTTAGGGTTTAGGGTTTGTGCGCAGCCGATTCCGTCATCGCCGAAGAAGCCGCAGGCAGCGCTGCCAGCGAACGAGATGCAGGAGGTCTGCGCGCCTGAGGACTTGAAGGAAAAAGTGACTTTTGTGCCTCAAATGGATTTATTTTTCGACCCCAAGGAGCAGCAAATGGTTTTGCTGCTGGACTTGCCGGGAGCAGCAAAAGAGGATTTGGCCCTGGAGGTGGGCCAGGGCTATTTGTGCGTGAGCGGCCCGCGGCCGCGGGGGCATTTGAAGGAGCGCTTTGGGGAGTTGCTGCAGTTGCTGGCCCACGAGCGGCCCACGGGTTTCTTTTGCAGGCGGTTTCAGCTGCCTTGCAACGCCCTCGAGGACACTGTCAATGCCCAGCTCAACGCCGGTACGCGCCCAAACCCTAAACCCTAAACCCTAAACCCTAAACCCTAAGCCCTGGAGCCGGACCGCCCGAAAACGGCGGAAAAACACCCCAAATTCGCTTCAAACCCCCGTTTTTCCCGAGGCCGCGTGAGGAGTTTTAGTGGAGGTTTTCAGCTTTTCAGTTTTTTCTTTTTAAGTCTTTTAAGCCTTAAAAGTCCTTCTCAGGGCTTTCGAAATGCCACAATTAGACAGGCTTGCTGCAGCTGCACTTACACGGGAATGCGCGGTCTTTTCGCTACATTTGAATGTTCTGCTGCTGCTCTGGAGGCCATTATTGCTGCTCCTATAACTTTATTTTGCTGCTGCTGCTGCTGCTGCAGCTGCTGCTGCAGCTGCTGCTTTAGCTTTTAATTCCTTTCAGCGTTCGCAGGCTGCGGCGGCTTCGGGTGTATCGACAGCTGCGCGGGGTGTATGCGCAGCTGGCTGTTGCTGCCGCGCTGTTGCAGTTTGAAATTAAGTCTTTTTCAGCAGCAGAACTTTAATTTAATTAAATTTTTGAGTTCATTTTGAAAAAGAATTGTCGGAACGCGGTGTATCGACAGCTGCGTGCGCTTCTCAGGTGTACTGGAGATCAAGTTCAAATGCGTGCAGCACCAGGAGAAGCGCCGGGTGGACATCGGGGCTGTTCCGGCGGACAAAACGGAGAAAACGGAGAAAAAAGCGGGAAAATAAACGAAAATAAATAAAAATAAATAAAAAATAAACAAAAAAGAACAAAAAAAGAGCAAAAATGAGCAAAAACTCCGCCAAATCGGCCAAATTGTCCATTTGCCCAGCCAACAGCAACAGCAGCAACTCCCCCGCTGCGCTGCAGGTAAAATCCAAGTACAACAACCCCACCCTTTTTCTATTCTTTCACTTCTTTGGCTTTTTCTCTTCTTTTATTTTCATTATTTCTCTCATTTCTCGGGCCTTTGCCCTTTAGCTCATTTCATGCAGCAGCGCCTTATAGTGTTTATTTGTCCGCGGGCTTCTTGCTGCTGCGCATAGTTCTCTCTGCGCCCCCGCTGCTGCACTGCGCGCGCGAACAGCAGCAGCAGCAGCAGCAGCAGCAGCAGCAGCAGCAGCAGCAGCAACCACAACAGCAGCAGCAGCAGCAACAGCCAAAGTCAGCCCTCCCTCGATCCCTAGCCCTGCGGCCCCCTCGGCACTGCATGCGCTTTGGGGCTGCATGCATTCGGAACCCCACAGACTCAAGCTTCGCCTTGAGGGTTTAGGGTTTAGGGTTTAGGGTTTGGGACTTCGGGAGCTTCTCCGAGCCTGTGGCCCGTTCAACTAACACCCTCTTAAGCCACGTGCATTTGTCCAAAGACACAAGGAAACATAATGTGTAGATTGTATGTAGGCAAGGCAGCAGCAGCAGCAACAGCAGCAGCAACAGCAGCAGCAACAGCAGCACCAGCAAAAGCTGCAGCAACAGTAGCAACATCATTGAGGATCCAGCTGCAGCAGCAGCAGTTGCCCTAGCTTTTCAGGAGGGCTTGCTCAGGCCTCAGCAAAAGGAACAGCAGCAAGTGTAGCATGCAGTTCCTTCCGTGCGGGGTGTACGTACACCTCAGCTTTACGGTTTAGGGTTTAGGGTTTAGGGTTTAGGGTTTGGGCGGCTGCTGGCCACCCAAGAACAAGCCCTCAAAAGCATGCATAATCAATCAGATGAGAAAATAGATTCAATTTGAATTTAATAAATGAAAGACATATGAAGGAAAAGAAAGAAAAGAACCCTTTGGGGGCCCCCAGGGGCCCCGGGGGCCCCCGGGAGACGCGGAGGGGCAAAAGAGATGATCTTGGGGACCTTTAAAGCCTTTTTAAAACGTGCATGCAAAATAAAGATGAAATAAAAAGAATTTAATTAATTTAAATTAACTTTATTGTGTTAAAGGGGGAAGAAAGAAAGTTCTGGACACCCGAGGTCACTTGGCGGTGACTCGTGCACACTCCGGCTGTCTGTCTGTGCAGCGCTTAGGTGCGTCGGAGGCGAATATTAATTCATTTTTATTTAATTTAATTAAAATTAAATTAAAAATTCATTTAATTTTTATTTTAATTTCAATTTATTTCCGTAATTTAAACATCCTGCGCCACGCGGCGCTCGCGGTGTCTGCACAGCTAGATCTTGACTTTGCTGCAGCTCACTTTCCTTTTAACTCAAATCTTGTCACTTATTTGCATTTCTTTTGTCTTTTTTGTTTTGTTGCCTTTGTACCCGTTTGCATTTCCGCTTATTTGCTGCTGCTGTTGCTGCTGCTGCTGCTGCTGCTGCTGCTGCTGCTGCTGCAGTCTTGGGTGTGCTGCTGCTGCTGCTGCTGCTCACGCTACCGCTGAAACCCACGCCAACGTCCTGCACACCGCCCCCCGGCCTGCGTGAATTACCTTCCAGGCCCCCATTCTTTCGTTGTTGCTGCTGCAGCTAGTGCGGCAGCAGCAGCAGCAGCAGCAGCAGCAGCTGTTGCTGCTGCTGCTGCTGCTGCAGATGTTGAACCCTTACATCTTAGGCAGATTTCTTCACAAGCTGCTGCGGCCTCGCCAGAGCTAGAGCGCCCTTAGGGGCCCCTCCAGTGCCAGCCCAGGGCCCTTCGCAGCAGCAGCAGCAGCAGCAGCAGCAAGCAGCAGCTAAGAGCAGCAAGCAGCAACAAACTGCAGCTAGCAGCAACTAGTGGCTGTTGGCAGCAACAAACTGTAGATCGCAGCTGCTAGCAGCAGTGAGAAGCAGCTAGCAGCATTTAGACGCAGGAGACTGCGACAGCTAGCAGATGCTAGCAGCAGCAGCAGCAAGCAGCAACGAACTGCAAAACGCAGCAGCAGACAAAAGCCAGCAGCAGCTAGCAGCAGCAGCAAGAAGCCGCAAACTGCAGCAAATATCCTTTTGAACTCTTTTTGCTGCAAAATGAAAACACAGAAAAGGAGCAAAAAAGGCCATGACAAGAACTGCGAGCTCTTCGTCCGCCTCCCAGAGCACTTTGAGCAGCAGCAGCAGCAGCAGCAGCAGCAGCAGCAGCAGCAGCAGCAGCAGTTTGGCACAGTGTTGCCTGGAGACCCTCAAGGCAGCAAATCGAGTTACCTGTATAGCGGGGAAGCGCCAGCAGCAGCTGCTGCAGCTTACGCAGCCACAGTTGCTGCTGCAGCAAAAGAAGCAGCAGCTGCTGGCCTTGCTGCTGCAGCAGCAGCTCCGAGAAGGCAGCAGCGGCAGCAACGGCAGCAGCAGGCAAAGGCAGGGGAGGCCCTAAAAGGGCTGGGGCCTGGGGGCCCCCAGGGGGGCCCCCAGGGGGGCCCCCAGGGGGGCCCCCCAAGAGGCAGCAGCCATGGGGGCCCCCCTAGAGGGAGGCAGCAAACTGAAAAAAACTCAATAGGGTACAGAAGGGGGGCCCCCCGCAGCAGCCCTCCCCTCCGGGGGCCCCTCAGGCTGCCCTCTCCTTCGCCGTGGCGGCAGTCCCCGGGGGGCCCCCAAGGGGAGAGTCCGTTGGCAGCAGCAGCAGCAGCAACAGCAGCAGCAGCAGCAGCAGCAGCAGAAGCTGCAGCAAACCGAGACAAATATGTCTGCCTCTCCCAACGCACTTCCTTGTGGGCTATGCGGAAGACGCAGCTGACTGCAGCGCAGCAAAATGGGGGCCGAGAGCTTCTTGCTGCTGCACCTGCTGCTTCTGCGCTCGCAGCAGCAAAAGCAGCAGCAGCAGCAGCAGCAGCAGCAGCAGCAGCAGAAAAGGAGCAGCAAAAAGAACAGGAACTCGCAGCGATACAGCCAACGCCTGAAGACACAGAGCTAACAAAGACGAGCCAGCGGAGGCAGCTTCAACACCCAAAACAGCAGCAGCAGCAGCAGCAGCAGCAGCAGCAGGAAATGCACGGCAGCGGTAAGTTCTTTGCTTCTTTCCCTTTTCCCCCCCCCATGAGTTAAGTCAGCAACAAGAGACTCACTGCAGCAGCAGCAGCAGCAGCAGCAGCAACAGGAGCAGCTGAGTGCGTCCTCGGGCTTCAAGTGAGTCTGTCTTGCTGCTTGCGCAAACCCTGCAGGCGCGCAGCAGCAGCAGCAGCAGCAGCAGCAGTACCAGCAGCAGCAGGAGCAACAGCAACAGCAGCAGTTGCTGCGTTCTTCCGCTGGACTGAAGTGCACCAAAAGACAGGAGGTAAATATATTTCAGCTTCACCTGGGTAAAGGGTTTAGCGTGTAGCGATCAGGGTTTAGGGTTTAGGGTTTAAGGTTTAGGGTTTAGGGTTTAGGGTTTAGGGTTTAGGGTTTAAGGCTGGGAATCTCTGTTTTTACTTTTCCTGCTACCTTTGCTTTTCATTATGCAAGTGCATTTGTTTGCCTTTCAATGAATAAAAATTTAGGCAGTGTCTTTCCCAACTTGCTGCTGCTGCTGCTGCTGCCTCTGCTTCTGCTGCAGCAGCAGCAGCTGCTGCTGCTGCTGCTGCTGCTCATAAGTGCATAGAATTCTCCCTGTTTATGTCCAGACAAACATTTATGGTACTTCATATATAAATGCATTAATTAATAAATTCCCTCATTTATTTATTCTTAATTTAACTTTTATATATTTGCACATTTAGATATTTAAATAAACAAATAATTGAATTGCTTTTATTTGCTTCTGTGCTGCTGCTGCTTCTGTTGCAGGCTGGGCTGCGACAGCAGAGCTGCTGTGCCCGCCGGGGCCCCCTGGCGCTGCAGCAGCAAAGCGCAGCCGCAGCAGCAGCGGCAGCAGCAGCAGCAGCAGCAGCAGCAGGGGCTCCTCAGGGGGACCCCGCGATCGAGGTTGCAGCAGCTGCTGTGGCGTCTGCGCTGCTCGAGCTGTCTGCTGCAGCAGCAGGGGCCCCCAGCAGCAGCAGCAGCAGCAGCAGCAGCAGCAGCAGCAGCAGCCTTCAGCTAGAAGCGAAGCCCCACAGCTGCGCATGCAGCACATCCCTGGGGGGCCCCCTGGGGCCCCCGCATGCAGCAGCTGTGGGGCCAGCAGCAAGCGTCAGCAGCAGAACAGCTATGCTTCTCAATGTAAGTCCATTAAGAAGATAAAGAAAAAGCCCATGCAGCAGCAGCAGCAGCAGCAGCAGCAGCAATGAAGGGTTTTGTGGGTTGTCTGCATGTTCAGGAGCTAGCTGTGGCTCTTCCCTCAGCAGCAGCAGCAGCAGGGAACCCTTGGGGCCCACCGGGGGCCCCCCACCGCCGGGAGTCTCCAAGTGCTGCTGCAGCAAGGGGGCCCCCCGCTGCAGCTGCTGCTGCTTTGGCAGCAGCAGGGGCTCTGCAGCATGCTGCGGGGGCCCCACGGCAGCTAAACGTAGCCTTATCTCAGTGTGGGGTTTCTTCGTTGCAGCAGAAGCCTCAAGGGGCGGCGTTGCAGCAGTGTGCTGCTTCTGCTGCTGCTGCTGCTGCTGCTGCTGCTGCTGCTGCTGCTGCTGAGGCTAAGGGGGAACCCTTGCTGTCCAGCCTAGAAAGGCTGCATGCGGCCGTCGGCTGCTCGGGGGGGGCCCTGCAGGGAATTGAGTGGCAGCAGCAGCAGCACTTGCCGCTGCTGCTGCCGGGCCCCCCGCCACAAGGACCCACAAGCACGAAGCAGCAGCAGCAGCAGCAGCAGCAGCAGCAGCAGCAGCAGCAGCGCAAAACCCACCAGCAGCAGATACCGCGCGCAACAACAGCGAGGTCGCTGCAAGCACCCAGAGAGACGCGGGCTCGATCCCTGCAAAGAGGTGAAGCAGTGCAGCAGCAGCAGCAGCAGCAGCAGCAGCAGCAGCAGCAGCAGCAGTGGGACTGGAGTCGTTTCCACGAGCAAGCGCCCTCCGCTGCTTTAGGTGTATCTGAAGCAGAAATGGTGGCAGCAGCAGCAGCAGCAGAGGTAGCAGCAGCAGCAGAAGCAGCAGCAGAAGCAGCAGCAGCGGAAGCAGCAGCAGCAGCAGAAAGGCAACTGGGTGACCAGTGGTCCAGCACCTCACAGCGCCGCTCCCTCAGCACCCCCACTTGGGTGAGTGCTGCGCGTATCTGCAGCAGCTGGAGAATGCCAGCAGCAGCAGCAGCAGCAGCAACGGGAGCAGCTACAGCAGCAGGAGCAACTGCTGTTGAGGCTGCTGCTACGACGGCAGCAACAGCAGCAGCAGCAGGAGCACCGGCGATAGGTGTAGGCAACGCTGCTGTTGCTGCTGCAGTCCCTCCGGCATTGCCGTTGGTATTTCCTCCTTCTGCAGCAGATACCTTTGCTACACCTGCTGCTGCTGCTGCTGCTGCCGGTGCTCCTGCTGCTGCTGCTGCTGCTGCTGGCTGCATGCCATCTCTGTCCAGCTTCATCAGGCTGACATCTTCGCAGACTGGTGCTGCAGCAGCTGGCACACCTGCTGCAGCACAAGAAGCGAGGACAGCAGCAGCAGCACCAGCAGCACCAGCAGCACCAGCAGCAACAGCAGCAGCAGCAGCACCAGCAGCAGCACCAGCAGCAGGAGAGGTAGTTGCCACATCGCGGGAAAGGCCTCCGTTTTTGCAGCGCATGCACTTTTGTGTGGAAAGGCTCAGCAGGTACCCAGGCTGCTCCTTGCAGCAGCAGCAGCAGCAGCAGCAGCAGCAAGAGACGCAGCAGCAAGCGTGGCAACAGCAGCTGCTGCAGCACATGCAGCAGCAGCTCATTTGGATGCGAGAGCAGCAGCAGCAGCAGCAAGTTCTTTTGCAGCACCACCTCAATCAGCAAGCGATTCAGCAGCAGCAACAGCAGCAGCTGCTGCAGCAGAAACTGCTGCAGCAGCATGAGCCACTTGGGGGCCCACAGAAGAGAGTGCAGCAGCCTGGTGCTGCTGCTGCCTCATCGCCAACTGCCAGGCTGTCATCCCCAACTCAGCAGCAGCAGCAGCGGCAGCAGCAGCGGCAGCAGCAGCAGCAGCAGCGGCAGCAGCAGCAGCAACTGAGAGACCCTCTGGACCTGCTGAGGGTCAGGGCCAACGGAGCAGCGTCTCCTGAGCAGAAGCCGCTGGGCACTTTGCCCCGCAGCAGCGACAGAAAGCGCATGCAGCCAGCAGCAGCAGCAGCAGCAGCAACAGCAGCAGCAGCAGCAGCAGGGGGCAGGCCCCCGTCAGCCGGCACTGTGCAGAGCCACCACACAAGCCGCAAGTGCGCTGCGTGCCACCCCGAGGGAGACGCAGGCGTCTGCTGCTGCTGCAGCAGCTGCAGCAGGCTGCATGCAGGTGCTGCTGCAGCGCGGGGGATGCAGCAGCACCAGCAGCAGAAACAGCAGCAAAGAGCCACACGGGGGAGCCCCCAACCCACAGCTTGCAGCAACAGCCCCACTTCCCGTCAGCAGCAGCAGAGGCAGCAGCAAAAGTCGAAACATCTGCCGCCTCCGCCGACGCCGCCGCCGCCGCAGCAGCAGCAGCAACAGCAACAGCAGCAGCAGCAGCAGCAGCAGCAGCAGCAGCAGCAGAAGGGGCAGCAACTGCTGGTTCTGGCCCTGCCAAGTACCCCTAGAAAACGAATTCTGCTGTGCGGCGCTGCAGCAGAAGCTGCCAATGGGGAGCTGCGCCTCTCTGAGAAGCAGCAGCAAGGTTTGCTGCAGCTGCTGCAGGAGCGGTCAGCCAGCAGCTGGAGGCAAGAAGACACAACGCCCCCCGGGGCCCACCCAGCAGCAGCAGCAGCAGCAGCAGCAGCAGCAGCAGCAGCACCAAGGAGCGCCTCAAGGGGCCTGCAGCAGCAGCACAGGAGAAGCCTGTCTGAAGGCAGAGAAAAGAAGCCGCGGCAGCTAGGCAGCACAAAGCCCGTGAGCCCGCAGCAGCACAAAAAGCAGCAGCAGCAGCAGCAGCAGCAGCAGCAGCACAGACGACAGGGCACTGCGAACGACGCCAGAAGCGAGTGCAGCAGCAACTGCTGCTGCTGCAACGGCTGCTGCAGCTGCGATGGCAGCGAAAGCACCTGCTCCAGCGACAGCAGCTCAGAAGCGGGAAACTGCAGCAGCAGGCGGCAGCAGCAGCAGCAAACTGGTGGATCCAGGCGTACAGACACTGCACTCCGGACACTGCAGCAGCAGGCACTTATAGACGAGCTTCTGCAAATGAGGCTGCAAGCGGTGTACCAGCAGCAGCAGCAGCAGCTGCTGCTGCAGCAGCAACTGCAACAGCAGCAGCAGCAGCAGCAATTGCAGCAGCAGCAGCAGCAAATACAGCAGCAACAGCAACGGCAGCAGATTCAGCAGCTGCAGCCCCCAATAACTCTGAGTGACATACCAGAGAGCAGTCAGGCAACAGAAGCTGCGGCTACGGCAGCAGCAGCAGCAGCAGCTGCTGCTGCTGCTGCTCCATGTGGGGTATCTGCAGCAAGCGCTGTTCAGGGTTTTGCTGCAGCACAAGGAGCTGCACAGGAAGCTCATTTCGGACTCAGCAGCAACACAGCAGCAGCCGTGAGGGAAGCTGCAGCTGAGAGAGCAGCAGCTTCTGCAGCAGCAGCAGAAGCAGCACAGCAGACTCAGCGACAAGGGTGCTCATGCGGGTGCGCAGCTGCAGAGGCAGCAGCAGCAGCAGCAGCTGCTGCTGCTGCGGCTGCTGCTGCTGCGCGTCGCTGCAGCGTTTCTGCTGCAGGGAGCTACAGCGAACCTGTGTTGCCAGAGGGACCTGTTGCGAAGTTTCTTTCCCGGATAGCACACTGCAGCACAACTTCACCTGCTGCTGCTGCTGCTGCTGCTGCTTTTGCCGCTGCTGATGCTGCGGCGGTGGGCACGCGGGCAGCAGCGCCACCAGCAGAAGCAGAGGCTGCTCCGGGTCAGCCTTACTCCTTTAATCAGCTCCTCCCACAGCAGCAGCAGCAGCAGCAGCAGCAGCAGCAGCAGCAGCAGCAGCAGAATGATATACCCTTGTCGGCCCGCCGACCCGCAACGCAGAATCAGCAAAGTCAGACAGAGCTTGCCGAACTCCAGCAGGTTACTGCAGTGCAGCAGCAGCAGCAGCAGCCTATAGCGGAGCAGCAGCAGCCTACGCAGCAGCAGCAGCCTACGCAGCAGCAGCAGCAGCCTTCGCAGCAGCCTTCGCAGCAGCCTTCACAGCAGCCTTTGCAGCAGCCTTCGCAGCAGCAGCAGCAGCAACAACAACAGCAACAGCAGCAGACGTCTCAGCTGCCGGTGCAAGAAACAGTAGGACCGACCAACTATGAAGTGGAAAGCCCGCAGCAAAGTCAGCAGCAGCAGCAACAACAACACCAAGAACAGCAACAGCAGCCGCAGCAGCAGCAGCAGCAGCAGCAGCAATCGGGATGGTGCCTCTCCCCGCCCGCTTTCCTTTGTGTCGGCCCTTCGTCGAGCCCCTCAACTGAATCATACAGTGCCACTTCACCCAAGGCCCCGCAGCAGCAAGAGGCTCACTCCCAGCCCCTGCAGCAGCAGCAGCAGCAGCAGCAGCAGCAGCAGCAGCAGCAGAGTTCAAGAGAGGGAAGCCCTGCTCCACTGCGGGCCACCCGGCTGCTTCCTGTGGTGTCTGAGGCCTCTCCCAGGCAGCAGCTGCTGTCGCCGGCGTCTTCAGATGGCCCCCCTTTGCTTGTGCTGCCGCCTATAGAGCAGCAGCAGCAGCAGCAGCAGCAGCAGCAGCAGCAGCAGCAGCAGCGAGCCAGATGGGACAGGCCTGCCGCTCCCCTGGGCCTCCCCAGAGTTTACCCTCCAACGGAGCAGCGCAGCGAGACGGCAAGCGGCGCAGCAGCAAAACTCCGCGCCAGCAGCAGCAGCAGCAGCAGCCCTCAGCAGCAGCAGCAGAACAGCCCCTTCAGCCTAAAGCAGGCGATAGGGGGGCCCCCTGCTGCTGCTGCCAGTGGGGCCCCCACAGTTAAGGTTGGGGGCCGACGGGGGCCCCCGCAGCTCTCCATGGAGCCTCCAGAAGCAGGTAGAACTGTGCTGCTGTCGCGGACAAGCTGGCAGCAGCAGCAGCACGAGCAGCAGCAGCAGCAGCACGAGCAGCAACAGCAGCAAGAACAGCAGCAGCAGCTGCGGCAGCAAAGGCAGCAACAGCAGCTGCTGCAGCTGCAGCAGCAACAGCTGCTGCAGCAGCAATACCAGCTTCAGCTGCAGCAATACCAGCTGCAGCAGCAGCAGAAGCAGCAGCAGGCTCGGGAGAGCTACATAGGGCAAAAAGCAGCGAGAAACCCGCGGCGACTGCCGCGGCCGGTGAGTGCCCCTCAACACGTGCCAGCAGCAGCAGCAGCAGCAGCAGCAGCGGGAGTAGCAGCAGCAGCAGGAAGAACTGCTGTAGTAAACAGACACAGCAGGGCCCCACGCCGACTCTCCCCTGGCAAACTGGGGGGCCCCCCACACACCATAAGGGCCCGCAGCTATTTGAGGGGCCCCCAGGGTTCGAGGGCCACAAGTGTAGACACAGCTGAGCAGCAGCGGCGAGCCACTGCTGCTGCTGCTGCTGCTGCTGCTGCTGCTGCTGGGGCGAAGCAGCTGCAGCAGCAGCTCCTGGAGAGGCAGCAGGAAGTGCTGCAGCAGCAGCAGCAGGTGCTGGAGCAGCAGCGGCAGCTGCTGCAGCAGCGGGAGCAGCTCCTAGGGGCCCCCCAGGCAGCTGCAGACACACTGGGGCCTCCTCTTGAGCAGCTGCCTGGGCTGAGGAGGCAGCAGCAGCGGCCAGCCCCCAAAGCAGCAGCAGCAGCAGCAGCAGCAGCGGCAGGGGCCCCCACTGCAGCAGACACTGACACGGAGTCCGCAGGCAGCAGCCCCAGCAGCAACTGGTCAGGCAGCATCAGCTCAGGAGAAGTTATTGTAACTCCAACAACTCATCGAGAGTTCGTTTGCATGCAAGCAAGCACTCTGGGGCCCCTCAGGGGGCCCCTCCTAGGGGGCCTTTCTTCTGAGGTGACCCTGGGGGCCCCCAGGGGGCCCCCCCTGGGGGCCCCCAGGGGGCCCCCACTGGGGGCCCCCTTAGGGGCCCCCCTAGCGGGCACACTGGGGGGCCCCCCAGGGGGCCCTCTGGGGGGCCCCCTGGGGGGCCCCCCCAATGCTGCTGCCCACGCGGCGGGGTCAGGGGCCCTCGCCGGGGCAGCTATAAAGACATCTCCCCATGCTGCAGCTACGCTGCTGCAGGGGAACAGTGCAGCAGCAGCAGCAGCCAGCAGCAGCAGCAGCGCGGGAGACCTCCGCGTGCTCGTGCCTCTCAGCAGGTCCGCTGCAGCAGCAAAACCAGCAGCAGCAGCTGCAGCAAACCCTCAACTGAAGCTCCAGAGTCTGCCTCCAAAGGAGGGCCTTAGGGGGCCCTAAGTGGGCCCCACAATGGCTCCATAGGAGGTTCACCTCGGGGGCCCCCCTAAGAAACAGCAGCAGCAGCAGCAGCAGCAGCAGCAGCAGCAGCAGGAGCCGCAGCAGCGGCTCCTTGTGGCCCCTTCTTGAGGCCACCTTTAGGGGGGCCCCCCCTGAGGGGCCCCTCTTTGGAAAGCTAAACCCTAAACCCTAAAGACTAAAACTGAATTGCCTGCGGGGCCTCGCAGCCCCTGCGGTTTACTGCAGCACGACTGCGCCGAACCCTAAACCCTAAACCCTAAACCCTAAACCCTAAACCCTAGGCCTAAGCGCAACCAAAGAAAGGTCGAAAAACTTAAAGGCTGGCTGCAGCCGCCCCACTTCTGGGGCCTTTCTGTCTATACAGTGCAGCAGTGCTGCGCCCAAGGGGCCCCCTAGGCAGCCACTTAAGGGGCAGCCCTTAGGGGCCCCAAGAGCCCTACCAGGGGCCCCACAAATGCTGGCAAGCGAGTCTGCTGGGGCCCCTTGGGGCCCCCTGAGGCCCTCTGGGGCCCCCTGAGGCGCTCTGGGGCCCCTTGAGGCCCCTTGGGGGCCCCTTGAGGCCCCCTGGGGCCCTACGGGGACCTCTGGGGCCCCCTGGGGCCCCCTGGGGCTTCCCAAGGGGCCCCCAGGGCCCCCCCAAGTGGGGGGCCCTTAGAAAGGGCCTGTGGGGAGTGTGTGTTTTGGTGTGTGTTTGAAGTTGGCTTCAGTTGGCCTGCTGCCTCCAGTTGGGGGTGGAAGAGTCCAGGGCTTTGACATATTCTGCCTGGGCAGTGGCTTTGTCCATTCCCTTGAGCTCTGCCCAGGCCTTCCACTTTTGTTTGGCTTCAATTTGATAAAAAGAAGGCTCAGGGGTTTCGTTGTCGCCCACAGTGGCTTGTTTGTAGAGCCCGTAGAAGCGGAGCTTCTGCGCAGTCGAAGGCTCCGCCCCCGCCGCCGGCTTGCGCACAAATTCAACTGCTTTCTCGAATTCAGAAGACATTTTCAACTCCAAATTCGAAAAAAAAGAGAAAAACGAACAACTTTTGAATATTTTAAACGCAAACTCAAGCCCAAAACTCCAGTGTGCACGCTGGCGCAACGCCCGCATGTGTCTGCACAACCACGCTGTGCGATCAGCAGCACGGGACCACACGAGCCACCGCGAGCGAAATGGAAAGTTTAGAAGAAATTTAAAAGAAATAAATTAATTTAAAACACTTTAATTAGTTTTTTATTTCGTTTTTGGAACAAAGACAAAGCACCCACAGCAGAGGCAACACCCGCGCCGTCCCACGCCGCTGCACTTCCCTACTCGGATCTTATGGCAGAAAGCCGCAAATAAAGGGAGAAACAATAAAGTTAATTATATTTTGAAGTTTAAAAGTTATTTGTTTCCTCTTATTCGAACATTTATTCTCAATTCAGAGCCAGAAGCGCCCACAGACACCCAGCTGCTGCATAGGCTTCAGAAATGTTCTACTCTCTTTGCAGCTGCGGCTGCTGCATGCACAAGTCTAGAGCTGCTCCGTGTGCTTCAAATAGTCCATTAAAGTCTAAATGTTGCAATTTTCGTGTCTTGTGGGGCCCCCCACAGCTAGCTACAGCTAAGTGCAGCTGGCCGTGGCTAGCTGCAGCTAGCCACAGCCAGCTAGCTGCAGCTAGCTGCGCGGGGCTACCGGCAGCTAGCTATCTCTGGGCGCAGCTAGCTGCAGCCCAGCAGCGCTGACTGCAGCAAGCTGCAGCAGCGCAGCATCAGCTGCAGCAGCACTGCCCATCCCGCTGCTGCTAGCCGCAGCTAGCTGCTGCTTGCTGCAGCTAGCTGCAGCTAGCTGCAGCTAGCTGTGTGGCGCTGCAGCTGCTGGCTAGCTGCCGCAAACTGCAGCGTCTGCAGACGGAAAAATACTTAAGTGAACCATCTAAGTCTAAAGCAGACCAAATAATAAGTTAAATGGACCAGTGGACCATCCAAATAAAAATGAAGAAGAGGGGCACAAACGCATGCACAAGAGGCGCCGTTCGCAGCGCCTTTGAATTCTCTCAGTCTCACATGATGGATTAAATAATTAATTTAAATTAATTATTTAATTCTTCAATTAATTAATTAAATTGCCCTTTGGAGGAAATAAATTAACCACTTGGCCCAGTTCACTCAAACCAAGAAGCCAACTAACGCAACTCATTCTGCTGCATGCAACTCATGTGGCTTTATTAGGCATTTAAATGAGATCAGTCCCGCTGCTGCTGCTGCTGCTGCTGCTGCTGCTGCTGCCGCTGCTGCTGCCGCTGGTGTCGCCGCTGCTGCCGCCGCTGCTCTCGCCGCCGCCGCCGCTGCCGCTGCTGCTGCCGCTACTACTACTACTACTACTGCTGCTGCTGCTAATGCTGCTGCTGCTTCGCAGCTGCTGCTGCTGCTGCGAAGCAGCAGCAGCAGCAGCGTCCTCCACCGCAGGAAAGGGAATCCTTCGCGCCCCAGCTGCTGCCGCTCAGCAGCAAAAAGCCACAAGGGCCTGTGCCCCTGGCTAGCTGCAGCCAGCGCACAGCTAGCCGAAAAAAGCCCCGCTAGGCACAGCTAGCCATGGCTAGCTAGCTAGCTAGCTAGCTATCAAATCGAAACTCCGCAGAGTTGCAGAGAACACAGAACCCCAAGATGGCTTGTCTGCTGCCTCTCTTTCGAAGCGCAGCCAGCGCCCCCACTCCCTTAATCCCATTACCTGGCTAGCTGCAGCTAGCTGCTGCAGCTAGCTGCAGCTAGCTGCAACTAGCTGCAGCTAGCTGCTGCAGCTAGCTGCGAGCGCCCGCAGCAGCTGGAGCTGCTCCTTTGAAGCAGCGACCTCGGCACTGCCCTTCCCCGGGCTAGCTGCGGCTACTAGAGCTCGCCGCCGTGGCTAGCTCTGGCTAGCCAGCCGCCTTCGCCTGCTGCTGCATCTGCTGCTGCTGCACCTTCCCCTGCTGCTGCTGCACCTGCCCCTGCTGCTGGTGCACCTGCAGCTGCTCTACCTGCCACTGCGTCTGCAGGCACAGCAGCAGCAGCAGCCGCTGCGGCTGCACCTGCTGCTTTGCCTGCATGTACAGCAACAGCAGCAGCAGCTGCTGCTGCACCTGCTGCTGCGCCCGCAGGTCCAGCAGCAGCAGCAGCTGCACTCGCTGCACTTGCTGCACCTGCTGCTGCGCCTGCAGGCACGGCAGCAGCCTTTGCTGCCGCAGCTGCCTCTCCTGCTCCTGCAGCAGCAGCTGCTACTTACAGCTCCTCCCCTGCTCCTGCTCCTGCAGCTGCAGCAGCAGCAGCAGCAGCTGCTGCTGCTGCTGCTGCTGCTGCTGCAGCAGCTGCTGCTGCTGCTGCTGCTGCAGCAGCTGCTGCTGCTGCTGCTGCTGCTGCTGCAGCTGCTGCTGCTGCTGCTGCTGCTGCAGCAGCTGCTGCTGCTGCTGCTGCTGCGGCGCTAGGGGCAGCTGTAAGTGCACTTGAGGCGCACTTCGTCTTCGCCGTGGGCGTGTCTGCATGCAGCCCCAGCCCTGCAAAAGCCGTTGAGCCAAAAGAAACACAAACTGGTTTTGTAGCAGTCTGCTGTTGACCGCAGCTCCCGCAGCGCGTGCGCAAACTTGCAGCGGTGAGAGGCCCTGCAAGCACAAACCCCAAACCCTAAACCCTAAACCCTAAACCCTAAACCCTAAACCCTAAACCCTAAACCCTAAACCCTGAACCCGGAACCCGGAAGTCGGAAGTCGGATTCCTCCTGAACCCTCTTAGATCCCAGGCCCGGGGTCAGCGAGACGCGGGCGGGCTTGCAGCCGTGAGGCGGGTTGTGCCCACACAAACCCTAAACCCTAAACCCTAAACCCTAAACCCTAAATTCGGGCTCAACAGGCCGGAGGCGACTTGCAGCCGCGATAAATCCCCTAAACCCTAAACCCTAAACCCTTGAAAGCGCACGCTTCGCAGCAGCCAGTCAGCAGTCACAGACCGCAAGCACCAACCTACACCCCAAACCCTAAACCCTAAACCCTAAACCCTAAACCCTCGAACTCACAGCCGGCAGAGCCCACTCTTGTACAACTGACACATCCGAGTCTTAAATAAAGGGTTTGGCGGGTGGGCCCCCTGGGGCCCCTGGGGTACCCCCTGGGGCCCCTGGGCATTTTGGACTCCGTGGGGCCTCGGGCTGGGCCTCGCGCGAGGGCGGGCCAGTTGCTGCTGCTGCTGCTGCTGCTGCTGCTGCTGCTGCTGGTGGGGCTGCTGCTGGGAATGCTGCTGCTGCTTGTGCTTCTGCTTCTGCTGCAGCTGCTGGTGTGCCTGCTCCTCGTCCTGCTGCAGCTCTTCCTCCTCCCCTTTCTGCTGCTGCTGCTGCTGCTGCTGCTGCTGCTGCTGCTGCTGCTGCTGCTGCTCAGTTGACCAAGCAGCATCAGCTTCTGCAAGTTCCCCCTGTGTCACCTCTGCAGCCTCTTCCCCCTGAAGCTCTTCAGGGGGGGGCCCCCCAGCCATTTCGGCTTCGGTGGGCCCCTGCTGCTCCCCGCCCTCTGCTGCTGCTGCTGCTGCTGCTGCTGCTGCTGCTGCTGCTGCATGCGCGGTGGCCTCTGGGGCCGGGAGGGTCACCTGGGGCCCCTTGAGCGCGGGCCTTCCCCTCCTTCTGCAGCAGGCCAGCCGCGCTGAGGGGGCCCCCAGGGGGCCCCCCTTGTCAGCAAAAAGCTTGTTGGGTTTTCTTACATCTTCTATGTCGCTGCTGCCCCCCAAACAAAACCCTAAACCCTCGCGGCCGCCGGCCCCACAGGCGAGGGGGGCCCCCCACTGGCAGCGCTCCAGGAAGCATTCGCTGGGGCCCCGGGGCCCCCGCGCAGCAGCAGCAGCAGCAGCTGCTGCTGCTGCTGCTGCAGGTGCAGCCGCAGCAGCAACCTCTTGTCCGGGGCCCCCAGAGGCTGGGGCCCCACGGGGCCCCTCGCAGCCTGCCCCCTCAGGGGGGCCCCCGCAGGGGGGCCCCCCGGGGCCCTCGTCAGCAACGGCAGCTTGTGGGGCCCCGGGGCTGTACCCTTCAGTATCCTCTACTATGTTGACCAGGGAAAGCGAGTCAGGGGCCCCCGGGGGCCCCCCGGGGGGCCCCGGGGGCCCCTCCTCTGATGCGGAGGGGGCCCCTGCGGGGGCCCCCCCTGGGGGCCCCCCAGGGGCCCCCGCAGGGGCCCCCCCTGGGGGCCCCTGGGGCTGGGGCATGCAACTTGGGGAAAAGAGACAATCCCAGGTGGTGCCACTGTAGGGGCAGAAGAAGGGGCAGTACATCATCATCATCATTAGCTGCTGCTGCTGCTGCAGCTGCAGCAGCTGCTGCTGCTGCTGCTGCTCCAGCTGCTGCTGCTGCTGCACGCCCACGTACTCGCGGCCCCAAAAACCCTGAGACCCCAAACAGGGGCAGCCCCCGGGGGCCCCCAGGGGGCCCCCCAGAGCTGCAGGGTATGGGGCATCTTGCTGCTGCTCCCCTAAGTATTGCTGCGGCAGCGCCACAGCGTACGACACAGTCTGCTGCTGCTGCTGCTGCTGCTGCTGCTGCTGCTGATAGGCCTCTTCTTCTTTCGATACCACGTAAGAAGTACTAGAACAAGAAAAGGAACAAGGGTACTGGGGGCCCCCCACGCATGCATACGGGGGGCCCCCCTCCGCGTAGGGGCGGGCCTGGAGGTTCTGCTGCTGTCCATAGGGCACTATTTGAGATGCTGCGCAAGCCCAGCTTTCCTGCTGCTGCTGCTGCTGCTGCTGCTGCTGCTCCTGGTCTTGCTGCTCGTCTCCTGCCTCGCCTGCGGCAGTCCCTTCTCCGGCAGCAGCGTCAGCGCCAACTGCTGCAGCAGCAGCAGCAGCAGCAGCAGCAGCAGCAGCAGCACTTTGCTGCAGGGTCACGGCGCAGTGCACAGCGTTTCCGTTTAGAGGTGTACGTACATCTCCTGAAGCTCCACTTTGGGGCGTGTCCTCTGCTGCTGCTGCTGCTGCTGCTGCTGCTGCTGGTTCCGTCGCTGCTGCTGCTTCTGCTGCTGCTCCTGCTGCTGCTGCTCCTGCTGCTGCAGCCAAGGAGCAAACATGTGTGGGGCAGCTTGCTGCGCTGAGAGATGAACTATTTGCTGCTTCTGGGGTGTCAGTGTCTGAACAGTGTGAGGCGCAGCAGCTGGTGCCGAAGCACTGGCGCTGCTGCTGCTGCTGCTGCACGTGCTGCAGCTGCTGCTGCTGCTGGGCGCACTCCGGACGCAGCAGCACCCCCCGCTGCTGCCTAATTGCTGCTGCACTTCTGTAGGGGCCCCCCACTGGCATTTTGCTGCTGCAGTGCAGCGCTGCTGTGCAGCCCACATCGTCTTCAGCGGAGCCGCAGCAGCTGTAGCTGCTGCTGCCCGCTGCGCTGCTGCTGCTGCTGCTGCTGCTGCTGCTGCTCTTGAGCTGCCCCGGGTGGACATAACAGAGTGGCACGCCCTTCATGGTCCCCAAGGGGGCCCCCAGGGGGGCCCCCTGGGGGCCCCCCTGGGGGGCCCCCCCGGGGGGCCCCCCTGGGGGCCCCTGGGGGGCCCCTCGAGGCTGCCGCGAGGGGGGCCCCCTCTGCGGCAGGTCTGCGTAGAGCTGCGAGTCATAGAGAGAGCCGCAGCGGCTGCACTTGTCCGGCCAAGGCAGCAGCAGCAGCCGGAACTCCCTGCGCAGCAGCCGTTCTGCTGCTGCTGCAGTGGTGTGGGGCCCCACAGCTGCATGCGCTGCATGCAGCAGCAGCTCCTTGTCTATTTCCCCAGTCCTCAGGTAAGTCAGTACAATGGCAAAGATCTCGGGGTGGCAGTCCAGCACCAGGCGAGGGACCCCCTGCTGCTGCTGCTGCTGCTGCTGCTGCTGCTGCTGCTGCTCCAGCTGCTGCAGCAGCGCAGGGCACTTCGAGGCTGTTTCCCACGTGGCGTGGAACAGACGTGGGCCCACCTGCACTTCGACTAGACTCTGCTGCTGGGGCTGCACACCAGCTGAGGCTGGTGCTGCCGCAGCAGCAGCAGCTGCTGCTGCTGCTGCAGCTGCTGCTGCTGCTTCTACTGCGGGGCTGCCGGTGGCGGGAACACGGGGGGACGCTGAGGATGCGATGCTGCTGTCCCTGCTGCGGCTGCTGCGGCTTCTGGGGCTGCTCTTGAGGCTGCTGACATCGCCGCTGCAGCTGCTGCTGCTGCTGCTGTTGCAGCAGCTGCTGCTGCGTTTGCTGCATCTGTTGCCCTCGTTGCTTCCGTCGCTGCTTGGGGCGTCACAGATGCGAGGCTGCTCCAGCTGCACCTCCTGCTGCAGCAGGAAGAGGGTCTGCTGCTGCTGCTGCTCCTGAGCCTCGTGAGCCACCATGTTGCTGCTGCAGCAGGGGCCCGCAAGACAAGAAGACAGCAGCCGCGGGGGAACGGGAAGCTGCTGCTAAATGAAGCTGCTGCTGACGGCTGGGAGTTCTAAAAGACAAAGAAAAAAAAATAAATAAATAAATGAGGGGAAAAATGGGCGAGCAACACAAATAAAAACAGCGAGAGGCAGCGAGCTCCTGCTGGCCTGCGTCGATTCAAGATCTGCTGCTCTGCGTTAGGGGGCTGCTGGGGAGCCTCACGAAAAAAGAAATAAAAATAAATGAAGTGGAAAACTAAAAATAAACACCCAGTTGGAATTCAAAGTGGATATACACCTACACCGCAATCGATTGCGGCGTTGCGTTCGGGAGCTTCCCCCCCTGTCTTCTCTATGCCTGCTGCGGGCCCCAGGGCCCCTGTCAGTTAATTTATTAAAAGGAAATAATAAAGTATTTAAAAATACATTTTGTCAACGCAAAAAGAAGCGAAATTTGCTGCTGTTTAAGCCGAGACCAGGGGGCCCCTGGAGTGCCGCGAGGGCCCCCTGCCCCCCTCAGCAGCAGCAGCGGCGTCTGTGTGTGCCATCTGGAGCCTCTTTTGTTTTAAAAAGGAATATTTATTTGATTTAAATATTAATTTGAGAATTATTGGCACATTTTAGCGCGAAATTGCTGCGCAGGAGGGCCCCTTCGGGGGTTTCTGTTTGTCTCAGCCGCATTTTCGGGCGAAGTGCTACACAGCTGCTGCTGCTTGTTTGCTGCAAGTTCTTTCTCTTAACCCCTTTAAACTCTATTAGCCCAATTAGCTGCATTTGGCTTTTCACCGAGCCACTGGCTGCTAGGGTTTAGGGTTTTTCTAGGGTTTAGGGTTTGCGCACGGCGCTCGCTAGCTAGGGTTTAGCTCTCTCGAGACAACTCGGCAGCAGCAAAAGGAAATAAACTGAGCTGCTGCAGCAAAACTTTTGAATTAATTTCAGAGGCAAAGAGAAGCTGCTGCGACTCCCGGAAGCTCGAGGTGTACGTACACCCCAGCTCCGCAGCAGACACCGCCATACACTCAACTCTGTTTCATTTTATTTTCAACAGAGTCTTTTGCTGCTCACAACTTTTATTGTTTTGGCCTTAAAGGCTTTTGCTGCAGCTGCTTCTAGCCGCTGTCTGGGGCCCCTAGGGTGTCTGTACACCTCCCGTGCTGCTGCTGCTGTTCTCCTTTTGCTGCTTTTGGCTGCTGCAGCTTCTTTCATTTTATTTCTTCTATTTTGACTTTTCTTTTTTGCTGCTGCAACACTCAGTGTGTCTTCAAGTACTTTAAATAAATCCATTTGGAGTCAAGTGCTGCTGGCAAATTCGCCTTCGCCTCTCAGCAGCAGCAGAGCACTGGGCGAAGAAGACCCAAAACTGCAGCAGCAGCCGCAGCATCTGCTGCTGCTGCTGCTGCTGCTGCTACGTCTGCTGCTGCTGAGGCTACTTCTCTTTCATATGTGCACCCACTTTTTGTCTTTCGACTTCCTCCATGACTGCCAAGAGGGGAGGCAAGTGGGGTCTTCGCTTTTTCTGCTGCTGCTGCTGCTGCTGCTGCTGCTCCTCCTGCTGCTGCTGCTGCTGCTGCTGCTGCTGCTGCTCCTCCTCCTCCTGCTGCTGCTGCTGCTGCTGCTGCTGCTGTGTAGGGGGCCCCCTTGAATGCACCCCTGTGTGCCGCAGCGCAGCAAGCGTTAGCAGCAGCGCCTCTTCAGTTCTTATAGTTCGCGAAGACTGAAGGGGACAAGTATTAACATAAGAATCAAAAAGGCATTCAGGGGGTACTGCTGCATCAGTACCCTCTTTGAGGGGCCCCAGGGGGCCCCCGGGGGCCCCCTGGCGCCCCAGGGCCCTGCAGGCCCGCCGCAGGTCCGAGGAGGGGGGCCCCCCAGCAGGGCAGGGGGGCCCCTCAGCAGCACAGAAGCCAACTGCAGCACGAGCTGCTGCTGCTGCTATGCCACTTTGGGGGTCCCTTAGAACTGCCTCTAAGCCGCTGAGGCCCCCGAAGACCAGCAGCAAATGGCTGCAGCAAAAAGACACAAGAAATGCGCACATAGTGAAGGTTTGCTGCTGCAGCTGCTGCAGCAGCAACAGCAAGAACAACTGCAGCAGCAGCAGCAACTTGAGCAGCAGCAGCTCCTTTTTCACAGCTTTATATATACAACTTATATGCATTTTATAGGTCGCTCTATTTAAATGAATTGTCACATCTAGACAATATAAATGCAAATTAATATCTAATCCACATATGCACAGAAATGTATTTATATTTAAAAGTAAAATGGTTTATGCATAAGGAAAGAAGCATAAATGGAGCAAGTAAAAATATAAATTTTTGTTTTTAAATGCATTTAAATGCATTCATATAAATGCGTGCAGTTGCTGCAGCAACTGTTGCTGCAGCAAACATATACTTGCTGCAGCAGCCACATTCGTTTATTGCTGCTTCTGCTGCTGCCTTGGGCATATTCCACCGATGTTATTTGATTGCTCCTTTATAACATTTAATTACTTATTTAATAATTCTTATTTATTTATTTATTTAATATTCATTCATCACTTATAGAATGCACAGGGGCCCCCGCTTTAACTATGGGGATGTTTAGACTCCGAAATAATATTTATTATATATATTAAAAGTGTTTTATAAGTATTTAACTATTTTAGTATGAAAATAAAAATTAATATAGTTCATACAAAATGTATAATCTACAGATAATAATATATATTATATTGGGTACAAATGTGAGTGCAAACGGCACTATTCGAAATCCCGATTTATTATTTTTTCTATTTCTTTCTCTTTAATTCAGCAAATAGCATTAGTTTGTTGTGGGTCCGGGCAGCAGCAGCAGCAACGTAGAGTCCCGCGCTGCTGCTGCTGCTGCTGCTGCTGCTGCTGCAGTGGCTGCTGCACTGTACCTGTAGCTGCCGTGCTGCATGCTGATGGCTGCTTGCTGCAGCGGGACTCCCCTTTCAGAAGTTCCCACAATGCAGTCATAAAGCCCTTCTCTCTTGAGGTCTTTGTCTTTATTTTTATTATTTGCTTCTTGACTTTTGCTGCTCTTTTTGCTGCTGCTCAGATTGTGGCCTCTAAACACCTCCCGCAGAGAACTCGCAGCGCGAACTTGATAGCCCCAGTACAGCCCTGGGGCGCAGCACGCATGCAGATGGACTGCTGCTGCTGCTGCTGCTGTTGCTGCTGCTGTTGCTGCTGCTCTTGCTGTAGCAGCTGCAGCGGGCGCTAGTGCTGCTGCTGTAGAAGCTACTAATGCTACTAATGCTGCTGCTGCTGCTGCTGCTGCTGCTGTGGCGGCAGAAGCAGCCACAATTCACTCTTGCTACAGAAATACGCAGAGGGGCTTCGCAGCAGCAGAGGGTGCAGCAGCAGCAGCAGCAGCAGCAGCAGCAAAAACAGCAGCAGGAGCAGCAGCAGCGATACCAGCAGCAGCCACTGCGCACACCGCAGCGGCAAGTCCAGCAGGTGGCTGCTTGCCGCCAGCAGCTGCTTCCCCCCAAGTTGCCAAAATGAAATATTTGAATTGTTTTTTATTTTTAAAATTAATTGAAATTAAATGAAAATTATTTACCTGCCAGAGTCGGAGGCTCTTGAGGAGAAACTGCTTCTCCCCGCAACACCAATTTGCGCTGAGACGGCAGCAGCCGGTTCAAGTCGCCAGCAGTGCGCAGCGAGGGGTGCAGCCGCAGCGTCACCCTGCAGCACAAACCCTAAACCCTAAACCCTAAACCCTAAACCCTAAACCCGAGGCCCCTGGGCCTAACCCTCAGCCTTGCTGTGCAGCGCTATGCAAAAGGCACGAGTCCCAGCAGCTCGCAGAAAGAAGCAAACGCAAAGCCACCGTGGAACACAAACCCTAAACCCTAAACCCTAAACCCTAAACCCTAAACCCTAAACCCTAGACAGCTACGCGGCAAATCATGAAAATCAGGGAAGAAACCCTCGCCGCGTAAGCCCCGGCCAGAGCAACATTGACCTTTACCCCCAAACCCTAAACCCTAATTCTGAACCCGCAGCGCTAAACCCTAAACCCTAAACCCTAAACCCTAATTTGCCCTGGGGGACCCCGGGGTGCTCCGTGGCCCGCGCTGCTGACCTTGTGCCCGCGGGGATTTGCTGCTGACATGCAACAGGAAAAAGAAGGCCACAATCCACAAGGGTCCCCCCTTGGGACTTTTCTAAAGAAACACCTTCTCTATAAGGAAGCCATTCATCGCGGCGCAGGTGGTGCGGCGCGTCCAGGGGGTTTTGCAGGCCCGCGTGCTTCAGGTCTAGGGTTTAGGGTTTAGGGTTTAGGGTTTCGCGAAGACCACGCCGCAGCAGCACACGCAACCCACAGCAGCAGCAAACACACACTCATGAACAGATATAAACGCCAGAGGCAGCCACGCCAACAACGAACTCGGCAAAACTGACAATTCAAAGGAAGACAAAAAGACAAAAAGAGAAAAAAAATGCTATTCAATCCAACCCCTCTTTTTCACTCTCAGGGCCCGGAGAGGCCCCGGGATGGGGCCCCCTAGCAGGTGCCTAAGGGGCCCTTGGGGCTCTGGAGAAGCATGGGGGCCCCCGCAAGGCCCCTGGGGGCCCCCCGTAGCCTAGCAGTAGCCTTGGGAAGGCCCCCGCAGGGCCCCTGGGGCCCCCCCTTGGTTTAGCGGTAGCCTTGGGGGCCCCCGAAGGGCCCCTGGGGGGCCCCCATGGCCTAGCAGTAGCCTTGGGGGGCCCCCGCAGGGCCCCTGCGCGCCCCCGCGGCCTAGCAGTAGCCTTGGGGGCCCCCTGGCTGTGCTGCAGTGCTTGCCTGGGTGCAGCTTGAAAAGGCGTTTTCTAAGGAATTGGGGAGTTTCTAAATATTGTAGATTGCGAACAAAGAAGTCCAAAGAGGGAGAGCGACCCGTTGATGGGTCTATTGCAGACGCTGCACACCAAACCCTAAACCCTAAACCCTAAACCCTAAACCCTAAACCCTAAGCTGCATGTACAATCAAAAAAGCAACTTAGAAAGCCAAATCGCGCTATAGGAAGGCCCTGGGGGCCCCCAAAGCTTTGGGGGCCCCTTGAAGAGGATTGCTGCTGCAGGCTTACCACAGTCTTCATAGACAACAACTTCATCAACACCCATCACTGTCAAAGACCTGGCAATGCAGCCCACCAAGGCGGCCCTCAGCTCTGCAGACTGAAACACCAAACCCTAAACCCTAAACCCTAAACCCTAAACCCCGAAGCCCCGGGCACAGAGCATCTTGACGAAACAAAAAGATAAAAATAGGGAGTGTACGGAAAGCAGATGGCAGCAGAGAGCCGGTGACGCAGAGCCAGGCAGGTGTACGTACACCTCAGCAGCAAGAAAGAAATCTATTTCAATTTAAGAGTTTTTCATTTGGCTAAAATTTTAAGAACTAGGGCCAATGCATGCAGCAGAGAGCACGAAAAACAGAAACAACTCTGCACGGAAATCCGTGCATCCTTGCAATTACCTCGGGGTCAAATCAGAAGCTACAAGCGAATAATAAATGAAGAACTAAAAAGATGCAATTGGGGGAAAAGCGAAATGGAAAAATAAATAGAAATGGGCAAAGACAGGCAATGCAAAGGGATGAAACTGAAAAATAAATTATTAATAAAGAATAGAAAAGATGATATTAGGGACAAAGAAAAGTAGGAAATGAAAATAAACGAAGACAGGTAAGGCAAAAAAATTGAGTGAACGAAAAGAAGCAAATTTAAAAGAATAAAATCGATAAAGATATGCAAAAGCAAAAGGATAAAAATGAAGGAAAAGAGGAAAAGGGAAAAGACACAAACCCTAGGAGCAAGAAGGGTAAAAGCAAAGAAAGTGGGTCTTAAGTGCATGCAACCTTCTTGTCCTTTCTTTGCATGCATGCAAATTTGGTAGAAAATAATAAAAAATAACAATAAAAAGAGAAAAGAAAGGACCAATTTGCAATAAAAAGAGAAAAGAAAGGACCAATTTGCTCGAAAAGACGGAGAGGAAAACAAAACAAAGAAAGCCAAGAGCCCCGCCCAGGTGTCTGTACGTACACCTGAAGGCCGTGGGACCCCGCATAAGGCTCGGCCTTTTATTTTCATTTTTTTCTTTTTGCTTACTTGTGCATTGGCCACTATAGAGGCCGGCAAAGCCACGCTGAGGGTCGAGACGCGGGGGGCCCCCTCAAAGGGTATTTGCTGCAGAGGCAGCAGCAGCACAGGGGCCCCCTAATAAGACAAAGAAACCCTTTAGGGTTTTTTTGCTTTTTCTGAAACTTGCAGCAGCAATATTAGGGTTTGGGGGGCCCCCCTGTCCCCCAGCAGCTCTTGGGGGGCCCTTTAGAACTTACTTTGGGGATGAATTCGAGGGACTGCTCAAAGGCTTCGTTGGGAACCCACTCATCTGTGTCTGCGCTGCAGAAAAAGCCCCAAAAATGCATGCATGCATGCATGTGTTTATGCATGCATGCATGCATGCATGCATGCGGCGGGCGCATGCAGCGAAAGGCCCTTGGCAGGAGGCGCAGTGGATTAATTAATTAGTTGAATTTGAATAAAATGGATTTATTTAATTGCGAAAAAAACAAATTAATTAAAAAAAGAAGACAAAGACATGCGCAATCAGCAGCACTCGGTGACAAAATAAGAAGGCCCTTTCAGGGCCACAGCAACCCTCGTGGGAGTCGACTCTAGGGTTTAGGGTTTAGGGTTTAGGGTTTAGGCCTTTAGGAATGGGCAAGCAACGCGGCAATAGTCAAACTCACTCGCATGCCCCGCCGCCTGCAGCTCTTTGTGGGGCCCCCCGGCCTTCGGGGTTTCCCAAACCCTCGGGGGCCCCCAAACCCTCGGGGGCCCCCAAACCCTCGGGAGCCTCCAGACCTTCGGGGGCCCCCGAACCCTCGGGGGCCCCCAAACCCTCGGGGGCCCCCTGACCCTCGGGGGCCCCCAGGCCCCGATTTTTGGACTCTTTCCGCCTCCTTCTGGGGGCCCCTAGTGAGGCCTCTGGCTCTTCAGGCTGAGCCAAAGCTTCCCTGCATCTTTTGGGGGCCCCTCCCCTACCCATTTGCTTGTCTGTTTGCGGGGGCCCCCGTGGCTATCGAAGTGACCTGGCTTGCTGCCGTAGGAGGCCCCAGAAGGCCCAGTTTAAGCCCCAAGAGGGTCTCAGGGGCCCCAAAATGCAAATATATTCAAAAAATTGATTATTTTGATGTATAAAGGCGCTATAATTGGGTTTAAGGGGCCTCCTGCCAGTTAGCTGTCGGCCCCACAGGAAGGCCTCGGGGCCCCTGGCGGCGGCGAGGCTGGGGGGGCGGAAGAGGTCCTTTTTGCGGGTTTTTTGCTGGCAAATTGTGTGCAATTAAAAGCAAATAAAAAGTACCATTAAATGGAATTAAATTTGAGCTATTGTGGGGCGAAAACGGGGAAAGAGAGGGCGGCAGGGCCGACGGGCTGCACTGGTGAGCTCTCTCCCTCCCTGCGGCGTGGCTGTCACGTGGGGCATCGCTGGCTGGCGTTGGTTTGCTGTCTGGGCCGCTCAGTTTGTTATTTTAAACAACAAAAACTGCAAAGACAAGTTGAATAAAGTTTTTGAAGGACATTTTGGCTGACACCGGCGGTCTCCGCGCAGAAAATGGCGCCCTCGAACCCCCCCCCGAGCAGCAGCAGCAGCAGCAGCAGCAGCAAGGTGAAGGACCTGACGCTTGCTGCCTTCGGCCGCAAGGAAATTCAACTTGCAGAAGCAGAAATGCCCGGACTTATGGCCCTCCGAGCAGAGCTGGGGCCCCGCAAGCCGCTGCAGGGAGTCCGCATCACTGGCTCGCTGCACATGACTGTACAGACAGCTGTGCTCATTGAAACCCTCACCCACTTGGGCGCCACAGTCCGCTGGTGCTCCTGCAACATTTTCAGCACTCAGGACCACGCAGCAGCAGCAATAGCTGCTGCGGGTTCGGCCACGGTCTTCGCCTGGAAAGGTTAGTTGCTGCGCCGCGCCCCCCCCTGGCTAGCTGGCTAGCTGGCTAGCTGGCTGGCTGGCTGGCTGGCTAGCCGCCCACTTGCGCTGCACACTCAGGGCGCCGGGCAGGCGGCGAGAAGTCCGCACTGTTGCGCTGCTTGCTGCTGCAGCTGCTGCTGCTGCTGCTGCTGCTGCTGATTCGCTGCTGCTGCTGCTGCTGCTGCTGCTGCTGCAGGTGAAACGGTGGAGGAGTACTGGTGGTGCTCGGAGCAGGCACTGACTTGGCCGGACTGCGCGGGCCCTGACTTGCTGGTGGACGACGGGGGGGATATAACTCTGTTGATTCACGAAGGAGTGCATGCAGAGGAGGTTTACGAGTCTTCGGGTTTGCTGCCGGAAGTTGCTGCTGCAGCAGACGAGGAAGCAGCAGCAGTGCAGCAGCTGCTGCGGCGGAGCGTGGCGGCCGCGCCGCGGAAGTGGCGGCAGCTGGCCGCGGGCGTGCGCGGAGTCAGCGAAGAAACCACCACGGGCGTGCTGCGGCTGCTGCAGCGCGCTGCAGCAAAACTGCTGCTGTTTCCCGCAATAAATGTGAACGATTGCGTCACAAAAAGCAAATTTGATAATATTTACGGCTGCAGACACTCTTTGCCCGACGCAATCATGAGAGCCACCGACGTGATGCTGGGCGGGAAGCTGGCAGTGGTCTGTGGCTACGGCGACGTGGGCAAGGGCTGTGCTGCAGCACTTCGCGGCCAAGGCTGCAGAGTTATAATTTCGGAAATAGATCCAATTTGTGCTTTGCAAGCGGCCATGGAGGGTTTCGCGGTGGCGCCGCTGGAGGCGGTGGTGGGGGAGGCGGACTTGTTCGTGAGCGCCACGGGAAACAAAGACATTATTTTGCAAAAGCACATGCAAAAGATGAAAAACAACGCAATTATTGGAAATATTGGCCATTTTGACAACGAAATTGATGTCAGGGGCCTCAAAGCCACCCCAGGCATCCGCTGCGAAAACATCAAACCCCAAGTCGACAGGTACATCTTCCCAGACGGCCACGCTGTCATTCTTCTCGCAGAAGGCAGACTCATGAACCTCGGCTGCGCCACTGGCCACCCCTCCTTCGTCATGTCTTGTTCGTTTTCTAACCAAGTCCTCGCCCAGGTGGCTTTGTGGGAGGCAGCGGCTGCCAAGAGCTACTCCAACCAGGTGTACAGACTCCCCAAGCACCTCGACGAGAAAGTCGCTGCTCTCCACCTCCCCGCCCTCGGCGCCAAACTCACCCGCCTTTCGCAAGAACAAGCCAAGTACCTCGGAGTCAGCCCCGACGGGCCCTTCAAGTCCGACGACTACAGGTACTAGCTGCTGCTGCTGCAGCAGCTGCAGCAGCAGCAGCTGCTGCTGCTGCAGCAGCAGCAGCAGCAGCAGCGGCTGTTGCGGGCGAGTGGCAGCTGTTTGTGTACGTGGAGAGGCGCCGGGAGGCCGGGCTGCTGCTGCGTTTCTTGAATTGTTTACTTGTCGAAGTTTGCGGAGTTTCTTGTTTGGTTTAATTGGTTATTATGCAGCTGCCTGCGCAGACAGCTGCTCCATTATATCTTTACTTTTGCCGTTCTTTAAAAACGGCCCCAAGACAAATTTATTTTTGGCCCCGCCGGCTTTGCTGCTGCTGCTGGCCAGCTAGCGCAGTAGCTAGCTGGCTAGCTGCCTGCGGCTGCACTAGCTAGCTGCCAGCTGCCTAGCTAGCTGCCTGCAGCTGAGCCCAGCCAGCTAGCGAGCCGCTGCAGGCCACCAACAAGCAACTGTTTATACAGCTGCACGCGCTTTATGCTTAATGTCTTTCCTACTGCTGCTGCTGCTGCTGCTGCTGCTGCTGCTGCACTGAGTTGCTTCAAGACTAGCAGTCAGCCGGAGGGAACTGTTTGGGGGCGCTGCAGCCAGAGTGCCGAACTCTCCCAATTAGGGTTTAGGGTTTTGTTAGGTTTAAGGAGCTTGCGTTGCACAACCAAGTTCAACTTATTGGCAGCAGCTGCAACAGCTGCAGCTGCTGCTGCTGCTGCCAACAAGAAGCATTCAGCTGCAGCCAGTGAGCCAGCAGCAGCTTCAATTTATGCAAATTCCCCACACCCCACTGCTGCTTCTTGAGGGGCTCTTATTGCTGCTTCTTTATTGGCTTCTACTTCCACTTTTGCTGCTTCTCCCGCCCCTCTGGACTGTACAGACACCCCGCTGCTGCTGCTGCTGCTCACCAGCACCCACTGCTGCGACAGCCGCGCCGGCAGCCACAAGAGGCCCCTGGGGGCCCCCTTGGGGGGCCCCCTGGGGGCCCCCAGGGGGGCCCCCATAGGGGCCCCAAGGGGGGCACCAGGGGGGCCCCCATCGACACTAGGGGCCCCTTCCGGTGGCATCTGTGGGGGGGAAGAGTTCGCAGTGAACTCCTGCTGAATTTCTTGCAGCAAAACGGGAGCAATAAGAGCTGCTGCTGCTGCTCTTGACAGCACCTGAGGCAGCAGCAGCATGCACTTCAACAAGATAATGAGTTCAAACTGATTTGGAGCTTTTTGTTTATTTTGTTTTAATTTTATTTCAACTTTATTTAAGTATTTAAATGAGACTTGCAGCTGCCAGACGCTAGGGGTGCTCGCAGCTAATTGCTGCAGGACCTGTTGAGCTAATGGGACGCAGACTGCTGCTGCTGCTGCTGCTGCTGCTGCTGCTCCTGCTGTTGCTGCTGCTAAACACTGGGGAGCCGAAGCAGAAAGACAGCGGCAAAGCAGCAGCAAAGCCAGCAGCAGCGGCAACAAGCAGCAGTAGTGGTAGCAAAAGATGCAGTAGCAGTAGCAACAGCAGCAGCAGCAATACATATGCTAGCAGCAGCAGCTACAGCAGCAGCAGCAGCTAAAATCGTTTACTTGGTGGGCCAAATCCTCATCAACCTGCAGCAATTCAGCGGTAGGCTGCAGCAGCAGAACGCTGCGAAAGGTCGCAAAAAAGTGCGCAGCAACTTTAACACTTCCAAGAAGCTCCGAGAGCCCCTGTTGTTGTTGCTGCTGCTGCTGTTGCTGCTGCTGCTGCTGCTGCTGCTCTTGGTCAAGAGGGGCGGCGTAGTGGTCAGGTAGAAGCAGCCTGCAACAATTCACACAAAAGCTGCATACTTCTACGTCTGAGGCTCGCCCTACCCTCGCAGCAGTAGCAGCAGCAGAAGCAGCAGCAGATAAGCTGCAGCAAGAAACAGCAGCAGCAGCAGCAGCCCGTCGCCACCGTAGCAGCAGATTCAGCACGCCCAGCAGCAGCAGCAGTTAGACAAACCCGAATGGAGTAGCCGAATGGACTGCTGCCAGCAGAGGGCCCCCCTCTATCAGCGGTTCCGTCGTCGGTATCTGCTGCTGCTGCCTTTGTTGCTGCTGCTGCTGCTGCTGCTGCTGCCCCTGCTGCAGCGCCTGCTCGAGACGCCGCTGCTGCACGCAGCAGCTAAGCACTATATCTGTCGCGTTAGGAGCTTCTTCGTTCTGCTGTACCTGCTGCGGCAGCTGCTGCTGCTCCCCCTGCTGCTGCTGCTGCTGCTCCCCTTGCTGCTGCTGCTGCTGCTGCTGCTGCTGCTGCTGCTGCTGGGGAGCGCGGTTGTCAGGGCGCAGCAGCAAAGATAAGGAGGGACAGGCGAAGGCCTTCATTGCTGCAGCAAAGGAAACGCCGCCGCCGTGGGTGCGGGAGGAGACTGCGAGCAGCTGCAGCGCGCAGCAAACTCTTGCTGCTGCTGCCCACACATTCCACAAGTCTTCAGCAGCAACGCCCTCTGCAGCTTCTGCTGCAGCCCCTGCTTCCTCGCTGCTGCTGCTGCTGCTGCTGCTGATTCTCTTGCTGCGGCTGCCGCCACAGATATCTGGGGGAAGAAGTTTCAGGGAAATGAGGGCCTCCACTGTTTTGGGAAGGCCCCACGAAGGTGGGCCTGCTGCTGCTGCTGCTGCTGCCGCTGCTGCGGTTGTCAGTCCTGCTTCTGCTGCTGCTGCTGCAGCTCTCTCTGTTTCTCTTAGTCCCCTGCAAATGGCGGTCAGGAGCTCCTGCAGTCCATCAGCACCTGCAGCAGCAATATCAGCAGCAGCAGCAGCAACAGACAGCAGCAATGAGAGCAGGCCCTTGCTGCTCGTGGCTCCACAACTCGGCTGCTGCTGCTGCTGCTGCATCGCAAACGCGGCAGCAGAAGCCGACGCTTTATTAGGAGTGCCCACGGCAGCAACAACGGCAGCAGCGGCGGCAGCAGCAGCAATGGGAGCAGCAGCAGCAGCAGCAGCAGCAGCAGCAGCAGCAGCAGCCGGCTGCAGTGTTACCCTTGCATGCGCGTTGGTTTATTTTTACTGTTTCTCTGGTGAAGTCCTTTTCAATTTGTTTTATGTCAAGAGGAGAAAAATCGCAGGGGCCCAAAGTCTCAAAGACAACAGGCATTGCCTGCAGCCGCTCCCTGCAGCAGCAGCAGCAGCAGCAGCAGCAGCAGCAGCAGCAGCGTTGTAAGGCACGCAAAAAGGAGGCACTTAAAGGAAAAGCCAAACCCACCAATAGGCTTCCAGACTCTGTGCTGCTGACGGCTGCAGCGACGGCGAAACACCAGCAGCAGCGCCTATGCAAATGCTGCTGCTGAGGGCTTCTTCCAGCTGCTGCTGCAGCAGCTGCTGCTGCTGCTGCTGCTGCTGCTGCTGTTGCTGTAGTTGCTTTTCAGCGGCTCGCGACCATATATTCAGCTGGCGCTGCAGCAGCGCAGAGAATCCGCAGCACTAACACCATCACTTTGCCGTTGCTGATACGCTGCAGCAACTGCTGCAGCAGTTGCTGCTGCAGCGGAGCCAACGTCATCATTATCAGCAGCAACAGCAGCAGCAGCAGCAGCAGCAGATAGCGAAGTGCCAGCAGCAACAACAGGAGCAGCCGCAGCAGCCGGAGCAGCAGCCGCAAAGGCAACAGAAGGTGCAGGAGAGCAACAGCAGCAGCAGCTGCAGCACACTCAAAGCAGCAGCAGCAGCAGCAGCAGCAGCAGCCTGTTAGTGTTAATGAGAAACACACCTTAGGGTGTACGGACGCACAAGCAGCCAAGAGGTTCAGGCGAAGCAGCTCGCACTCGAGACACGCTGTTAAGATCTGCAGCACACAGGACAGCAGCAGCTGCTGTTGGTGCTGCTGCTGCTGCTGCTGCTGCTGTCTGGCTGGCTTTTGCTGCTTCTGCTTCTGCTGCTGCTGCTGCTGCTGCTGTGGCGGCTGCTGCTAAGGGGAGACGGGGGCTGCATGCAGCTCGGACCTGCTGCAGCACTTGCTGCCGCTGCCGCTCGCACTGGAAAAGCGCAGAAGCAGCAGCAACAGCAGCAGAGTGCTGCCCCTCCGTTTCTGCCCCAACTGTCTCTATCAGGCGCAGCTGCTGCTGCTGCTGCTGCTCTAAACTGTCCCCCTGGGACCCTGAGGGGGCCCCCAGGGGGCCCCCCCCCGCAGCCACCAGGCACTGAAGGTCAGCCAGAAGTTCTTCTGTCTGCAGCTGCGGCCATTCCCCCTGAGGCCTCTTCAGGCCAGAAGGGGGCCCCCCGGGGCCCCCCGCTTTGTGGTGGGCCCCCATTGTTTTTCATTAGCAGCGCTGGCCGCCGCTGCTGCTGCTGCTGCTGCTGCTGCTGCTGTTCTGCTGGCGGTGTGCTGCTGCTGGCCGCACGAGGCCTGCCGCCGCCGGCAGCGTTCTGCTGCTGTTGCTGCAGGTGTTGCTGCCGCTGCTGCTGCTGCTGCTGACTTCTACCTGCCTGCTGCTGCTGTGGCACTGGCTGCTGCTGCTGCTGCAACAAACTAAAAGGGGGTCTCACGCCCGAGCTCGCAGGAACAAGGCAGCAGCAGCTGCAGCGCTGCTATGCCGTCGTGGGCAATTTGCGCCCGCGGAAGAGGCAGGAAAAAAGAATGGAAACAAATCCAATTTGTTGATAATTAATATTTTTGAATTAATGCAATAAAAATGTCTAAAATGAGTTATTGTCCCGAGACAAAAGACTATGCCGCGCGCTGTCGGCGCAGCCGCTGCCGCCGCGCAGCCTGCTACTGCTGCTGCTGCTGCTGCTGCAGTAGATTGCAGTGTTTGAACAGCAGCAGGAGCAGTTCTGCCACTTTAGAGGTGCATAATAGCGTTTTAAAGATTATTTGTTAGTTGCTGGTTTCTGTGCATTGTTTCGGGGCTGCATGCGTTCGGCAGGGGTGTTTATACTTGAACGAGGACTTGCCCCGGGCTGCCTTCCTGGCTTAAGTGTGGACTTAGCGTTATTTTTTGCTGCTTTTTTGCCTTAAATCGCCTTCTGATTCCTTGTTGCTTCATTGTTCCATCGCTAGCTGCTGGCCTCAGTGGAGCAGCA